TATTCCGTTTTGATTTTCCTTCGCTGAAAAAGGTGTGTAACTAGATAGCTGAATGTAATTCTCGTCATATTTAACTTGAACGAATCCTACGGCATCTTTTAATTTAAGAATACAAGATGGTGAGATTATTCTTCCTTCTACTAACATGAAGTCCAAATCTTGTATTGATTGTTGAGCAAAATGACGTGCATATGCAGCGCCTTCGATTGTGCTACCAGACACAAAGAATTGATTACCAACTTTAGTTACTGTTGCCATTTATCGGATCAGTTGCTGAAAAGAAAAGTCGATAAAGAATAAATAGTATTGATGATGTTGTTTCATTTTTGTGTTGCCTGGTTTTTTCCAACCAACGAACGCATAAAAAGTGAATCATATACATGAATTACAGAAAGATCTCAAGAATGATTGCTTTCTAACTCTTTCGTTACGATAGTATAAAAAAAGCAACACCTGTTTTTTATTTTTTTCTATGATGAAATTTACAAAAATCGGTGTGTAACTCTTTGAAAGAAATTTAAATAGCATATTCTAGAAGCATTTCGTAGTATTTATTTCACATGTACTGTTGATATATCTTCAATTCTCGGCGTATCTTATTATGAATATTATACCTCTCAAAAAAAGTAGCTTAGATGATATTTGCAGTGAATCTACATATGTACATATGAAAAAGCATCTAGACAACGAAATATAGATCAACTTGATAATAAAATTATAATGCACTGATCTCTGTGCACTTTCATATTGCACAGTTAGCGATTTCTTTGTTCTTTTTTCTTCTTATTCGTGGTTGAAAGTTAGTAAATACACGTGCATATACACACTTGTATGTATATATTTCGTTACTTTGAAGTTAGTTGTTACTTTGTCTTTCCTTCCATATTGAATCTCATTGCAAAGAAGAAAATTCTGTAACGAAAGGGTGAATCCATTCTTCCTAATGTACGATGCAAAAGTAATGGCACAGATGTTACTCACTACTGTCAGGTCTATGAATGTCGTAGAGGTCTAATTCACACTCGAGCGGATAGAACAAATTTTCCTCTTTCCAATGATATATAATTGAACGCAGTTCAATCTCTTATTAAAAATGGGTCGACAATTTCGTGTTCACCAGAGCACGATAAGACGTGTCCTGAAAACCCGACCCGAACATCAGTGAGGGCACTGAAACGACAAACCGCACCGAAATATTCCAGTTATGATCAAGAAAGACGAGCTCAGTTGAACAGTTTGGAACTTTACCGCCTTCTCAAACCGACTGTCAATTTGAACCCAAACTCCTCGTTTGGTGGGCGTTGTCTGCGAAAGGAAGAAGCTCGGTGCATGTCCACCGAAGCAAAGCTGCCGTGGGTACGGACACGTACCTCAACGAGCGCATCAGAAAGCGATTGGTCCCGTTTATCAGCAAGCATCACCACGGAGATTCTATTCTCTTTTGGCCTGATTTAGCCAGCGCTCACTACTTCAAGCGAGTTCAAGTGTTTCTCACAAATCAAGGAATCAAGTGCGTCAAACGGTCGCAAAATCCTCCCAATGTGCCACACGCGCGTCCGATCGAAACGATTTGGTGTCTCCTTGAACAGAAAGTTTACGATCGTGGCTGGGAAGCAAAAAATTTGGATCAATTAGCGAAACGAATAATTTGGAAGGCGAAAGAAATCGATCAAAAAGTTGTAACTAACATGATTTTGCGTGTTAGAGGAAACCTCTTAAGAATGTACCAGAAAGGAGTGTATAGTATTGTTTCATTATTGATGTAGTTCCAGTTTTCTGAGGTCTTTCGAATAAAGAAATAATCAGGATGATTGATCATTTCCTTGTCGAGCAGTAGTATCTGACATTTGTGCCATTACTTTTGCATCGTACGTTAGTTTGATTTTCTTAGAGTAAACGAGTTGATTTCCAGATCTCGAAATCAAGACTAGTTTTTGTTCGAAATCTCACAAGAGATAATAGTATACGATCTCAATCTGATATAGGCACACCATCACGTATGGTTGTGACTATCTGAACTATCAAACAATTGACAGCTAATATTTGATTTCTGAAAGCTAGCAGTCTTGTATTGCACTTGTGTTCGACAGCGAGTTTGACACTGACGAATATTCAGTACAAGAACAGTTATGTAGGGTAAACAGGTTGTTGTAGTACATCGAAATTTTCCATCCGTTAGCGACAAATATTCTCGAATTCTGTGGAAGTGATTGTTGAAGAATAATAATCAAGAATAGCAAGAACATATTTGAGTAAACCATATCAAGTAACACTAACTTTTCAAGTGAAAGAGAAATCGTGTTATAAAAATCAAACGGAGAGCATCTATATCTTATGCATATCTTTTTATACTCTTGATTTCCTTTCACTTTTTTAATTACTGCATTGGATGCCATTCGGAGAATGGACTTTGTTATTCTAAAAAACAAGCTTAGACCTTTTCGCAAACTACTTGAGAGACGTTTTGATGAACGACATACATAGCCCAACAACAAAGTAAAAACAATTGTGATTTTTTGTAAGAGATCTGTAATATATACCGACAAACTATCGAATCACCAGTTGTGTACATTGTACACTTTTCTCTAGATTTAAAAGTCAGTGTGACGATTTGTGAGTATTTTTTTCGAAAAATCAGACGTAATTCAAATTAGTATTTTTCTGTTTTACACATGAATAGATTAAATAGATTGTTATGGTCAATACGACCGGGACATCTATTTTCTTCTTGTTTTCCCTTTCTTTGTTCTTGTTGTAATATATGTTGTTACATTCAATAAAAGTAGTCAGTTATGTTCTAACAACTTATTGAGCACACGCCTCTTCGCTCTCAAGCATTAAGCATAACAGTTATACTTTCTAAGTTCAAAAAGAAAAATAAAATTTTTGAAAAAAACGCCAAAAATTAGCTGTTAACATAATAGATCGTGCAAGTATTTTTACACGGGTTTATATGAGCTTAGAAAGTACCCGATAAGAAAAAACAAGTAAGAGAACGAAGTCCAAAACGTCATATCTCTTCTCGGTTTGCGATTTCTTGAAGATAAGAGGGTAACTAGTAGTATCATTTCAAAGTATAGGTGGCAAATCGAACCATATTTTTATATACACGCAGGAAGCACAAGCATAGTGCCTCGAAATATAAACGGAGAGCAATATACATTTTGGAAAGAAAAGAAAAATCATAATGGCGCCATACAAGGATAATAGATACGAAAGGAAAAAGATGACAAAAATTTTCAGCTGTCATATATGACGTAAGAAAAAAAAATGTGAGAGAAATTATCTCTCGAAGTCAACAAAGAAAAGAAGGACATTGAAATATTCGCATCTTTTCAACGATATTTATATAAATGGCGTTTCAGAAGTTCTGAGGTAAGTCTGTAAAATTTATCGATCTTGAACAGTTTATTGCGTATGTTAAGTACTACGCTATTACTACGGAAGAGAATCGGTGGAATCATCATCATATATTTTTGTTACAGCTTTTCCTACTCATTTTTGACGCGTATCATAAATTTTGCAGTATTTTTCCATTTTGTCTGTACCTCAACCTAGACAAGTGATAGAATCTTACACTTTTTTAAAAAGAGGCTCCATTAAAATCTCTAGACAGTTACAAAATATAAAACGTTGTTGGCTTGTCTTAATAGCGCGAATGATAATACAGCCTGTCACGACAGTGAATACGGTGAAGAAAGTCTGGGGTTTCCGAATAGAAGTTTCTATTTATACAGTTTTTGTAGAGCTTTCTATGGTGTATCATTTGAAAGAAAAATGAACCGTTTCTGACTTTCTCGAGCTGAGATACACGCAAAATGAAAAGATCTCCGATTTTTTTTTATCTATTAGAGGTTTTAATGACGCATCTCTTTAAAAACAGTTCAAGACTCTATCACTTATATCTACGAAGATATCAATATTTTAGCGATGATAGAATACAGGAAAAAGTGTGTCAAAAATGCATGATGATGTTTCCACTGATTCTCTTCCGTAGTAATAGTGTAGTACTTAATATGCGCAATAGAATGTCCAAGATCGATAAATTTCACAGACATACCTCAGAGCTTTTGAATCACCTTTTATATATGTACAGATTATACCTACAGGCAGGTAAACTAGTTCTCAAAGTAATAGATATAACAACCTAAATTAGTCGCATCATGCCTCAAAAAGCTGTTACAGTCATCCTTTTGAATTCACTCATTATTCCAATCATTCTGGCCAGTGGCAACTTGCCGAGAGCTCAAACAGAACAAGGTGTTTATATTGGTAGTCGATCAACAATAAACGATATAACTGTCGCCTGTTGGTATGGTATACCCTACGCTGAACAACCTGTTGATAATCTTAGATGGTTGCCTCCTCTACCTCTTCCAACATCCAATGAGATCAATATTGCCGATGCTGCTACTTTATGTCCACAGCTGAGCAGTTTTGAGCCGCCATATACCGAAGCTTGTCTTACACTGAATGTGCACGCTCCCGAAAACGCAACTAATCTACCTGTCTATGTTTGGATTCATGGAGGTAGTTTCACGACAGGTGCTGGTGGATCGTATAATGCTACTCCATTCGTTATCACAAGCATAAATTATTCGGTTCCTATCGTTGTTGTTACCATTAACTATCGAATTGGCCTGCTTGGTTTTCTTGCAGATGAAGCACTTTATAACGGGAAATCAGGAGTCGAGGGTACAAGAACGACAGGTAATTATGGAATCTTAGATCAAATGATGGCACTCGACTGGATAAAGAAGAATATTCGCGGTTTTGGTGGTAATCCAGAAGAAATCACTATCGGCGGTGAAAGTGCTGGTGGCATCTCTGTCAGTGTTCTGCTAACATCGCCATTAGTTAAGACTGGCACATTTCAAAGGGCGATTGTCCAAAGTGGTGGTATATGGCCCAATGCTACTAAGGATCTTCAGACAGCATTTGATGATAGTGGAAATATTTTGAGACCTCTGGTGAATTGTAGTACAGTAGAATGTCTACGCAATTTAACGGTCAAGCAAATCCTTCGAGCTCAAAAAACGATCGCGTCGAAGAATATTTTTGGAACAGCTGCAACTCCAGTCGTTGATGGTTATGTTTTAAATGATACAATAGAAAACAGCTATGCGAGAGGAAATTTTCAAAAAGTTCCCGTTCTGGTTGGATCCACTACCAATGAAACATCATTATATACATGTCAAGTCTTTCAAGGATCAGCTACTGAAGCACAGGTTCAAGAATTTTTCCGATCAATATACAATTCAAACATGAGCAGTGGGTTTCCTGATATTTATGGACCGATGTCAGTCTATAACGAATCATTAACTTATTTAAATATTATCTACAGTGATTCATGGTTGCATTGTGGATCTAGACGTATCGCTGCGCAGTTCTCTAATTCTAAATTACCTTCTTATTTGTTTACATACAACCATCTTATACCTGTTACGCCGCGTTGTTTTGGTGTGACCCACTCTACCGAACTGCCCATGTTTTTTCCGTCTCTTGTGCAGCGTTATTTTCCCAAGTATAATTTAACTGAAGAGGAGAAGCAGCTTTCTATTAACATGATGCGATATTGGGCGAACTTTATTCGAACATCCAATCCTAACTTCGAAGGCAGTGCAATTAATTGGAATACTTACTCAATCAATTCAGATAATGATTTAGTTCTTGACACTGCTCTACGAATGAGAAATTATCATTATAAAGTTGCTTGCTCGTCTCTATGGGATCTTTATGCAACCACAAACGATACTCCGACGTCAAGTGCCATAAGTTCTACGAAAAGCCGACAACGTTTTCAATCATTTTTCTGTACTGTTCTTTTCCAAATCATTCTTTGTACTTTTACGCGTTTTTAGTGATTTATTAAATACAAGTTTTTAATGCACTATTATGTATATAAGTTTTTTTTCACCATAGATTAGATATTTTCACAAAAGCAACAATAGATATTCATACCAAATGTTAAACAGAGCACTAGATATTTTGAAGACGTATCAATACAGTTAGAAAAATTGTGAATGACTATATCAAAAAGCAAAATCAAGAAAACACGCTAGGCAATATCTGATGCAATGAGAGAAAAGAAACAGTTATTGCAGTAATTAAGATAAATGTAAAGAAAGAGAAAAAGAAAATGAACACTCAGGAATAATTATTTTAAATTAATTTAAGATTATGTTACGTTTTATATCCTTGCAACAACACTAGACTCCTAGCAAAGTATCGATTTACACATGTTCGAAAAATGAAAGAAGTACACTCTCGTTTTGTCTTTTTGTCGAGTTCGTCTAGACGTTTCAGTTCAGTGTCTTGCGTAGAAGGTGGAAGGATAACCGTATCATCCCCTTTGTTCACTCTGCTGAGTGGTACATATAGCGATGCTATTTGCAGTGTCCCAGGCGAAACTTGAAGATCGACTAGAATTTTGCTCATTGTGAGCCCTTGCACTTTGTATGTATTTATAGCGAAGGCAGGTACAATTGGTAGTTGCGTTCTTGTAACTCGAGTGACATGTGTAATTTTTCTCCCACTTTGCGCTCGATCGCATAGATGTCCGGAGAGTTGCTTTATAGGAACTGTGAGTCGCTTTTTGATTAATCGAATAGGAATTAGTTTAGGGCGGAGACCATCAAGATTTGTTTCTACTTGTGATGTATTAATTTTCACGAGTGCATACGATGGTTTTCATATGTAGATCGTATTTGAGGGAAATACGTTACTTTTTATCTTGAGATCGTTCGGACCCTCCTGATCATCGTATATGAGCTCTCGAAAAATTCCTTGTGTACCATTCGAAAGTTCTAGTTCACACGCATTGTTATCAGTGAGACATACAGGTATGTTGGTTACGAAGGGTAAGAGACCGGGTAGAAGCTCGGTCTTGTTGTCTGAGAGATGGACGTTACTTCAAAGTTTCTTTATGAAGATTAGATATTGACTATTACGTCACCGGACATTGAAGAGAATATTTTGTTTCCCATACATATACACTTAACTATAGCCGGTATCATACGATCACACAGGTTTCTTTTGAAAATCCACATCCATTGTTTGAAAAAGAATGTTGTTAATTCTCAAATAACTAACGCCAAATTCCAGTTTCTCGACCCTAAAGCCCTTCGCACGCGACCCTTCTGAAAAAAGTCCTTTGTTTTAAAGATGTGACCGATAAAAGTTTTGTTAAAACTCACATGAGAGTCGAGTGCCCCGATCTCAAGAACCCATCAGTCAAATTTGATAAAAAAAATGATTCTTTGCCCAAAAAATACTTTTTTTTTAATCGAGAAAACTAACACCAGGTTCGAAGTCTCCCTATCGAAGTACATCCAGAAATGTCTTTTTCGAAAAATCGATTCTTGATGTTTTTTATCCTGTGGACTTACAAACAAGCAAGCAGTTCGATAATTTATCTCTAATAGACTCTTCTCTACGGGAAAGAGAATAAATTCAAAGGAGCGAAGAGGAATATCTTAAAGTTTGGAAGTTTACAAAACGTACGAAATAGTGTTATTAAGCGAATATTCGAATAATTCAGAACGGTATGACTTCTTCAACTGAACCGATTGCAGTTACTAGACAATTATGTAATGAGATTTCTCTTATGGAAACAGAAAGAGCAAAATAATTGAAGCTCGATGGAACTGCTTGTGCATTTATCGGATCTTCCTCTCGTCGATCAAAGATAGTTGGTGACATTTTATGCGATTTTGAAGGGAAGGATCATGCACTATAATGAGATGGGAGAATATTCAACTGGGACCACTTAATGTAGCATTATTAAATTGTACTTTCATTCAAGGTTTCGAATTGGATAACTTCCATTCGAGTGCTACTTTGTAGAGTAATTCTACTATTTTGTATTGTGAAACGCTTTATAATTCTTTATTTCAGAGAAGGAAAACAGAGGCAGACGAAAGAGAATGAATAATTGGTAAGTAGAATAATTTTTTTCTCATTGCTTATGTAATAAAAAAGAAAAAAAAGGAAATTGTTTAGTATACCATTAAAACATCCAATATAACGATAAAAAAGTATCTTTATAATGGAATCAGTGGAGTACGTGAACTGCAATGTTCATGGCGGCATCGACAGCTTAAAAGTTATTTATTTGGACACCTAAACTTGTTGCTATGACAGGAGGCCGAAACGAAGCATTAAATGCTGAATCTGGTAAGTTAATGTAAGAGCTTAAACTGCTATTACAAGCACCTGTACTAGCATAAGTGACAAATTGACTAATTACTGATGCATTACTGATAACAGTATTATTGAATGCAGAAATATTTTGGCTGTTACATAAAATAACAATGGGATTTGAATAGTTTTTCATGGAAAAATAGTTGTTACGGATTGATACCCCACCACCATTAGAACTTTGTATTGGATATTTACTATACTGCCCATTAAGAAATGTCGATGATGTGATTTGTATGTTGGTTATGACTGGAACTGGTGCAATCAAATCAGGTGAAATTGATATGACTCCATTTCCTTGTGCAATACCTTCATTGCAACTAATATAAACATTTTGATCAAGTGTAACATTTCTTGCTGTAGGACCTTCATGCCAATATAATGATGCACCAAATAAAACTGCTGGTCCACTAGTTTGATTGAATAAAGATTGTGTTACAGTAATGTTCCGGGCTTGTAACAGAATACCACGTGCACGATTGTTCGCTGCAGTAAAGTTGCGTATAGTAACTGTTGGCGTATCAGCAACAACAGCCCAATCGCCAACGCTTGCATTAATTGGATTAGCAAAGATAAATAACTTTGAATTTCCGCCATTGCCAGTCAATGATACTATTGTTGCTGTTGCATAGCCAACAAACGGTTGTTGGCCAGAAACAAATTCAAGATTAGTGCCAACTCCAACATTAAGAACTTCAGGCCAATTATATTCGGTGAGAGTGAGGGCAGTTGAATTGAATATTTCTGTAACTTTATAATAATATGCGTGCACATTCAAACCATCATCACCTTGTCCTTCACATGAACTGTTGAATATGTTTATATAATTTCTAGCATCTCCAAAATGCATACAATCTGCTGATGTACTCAACCAACGTCCAGCACGTGGCTTCACATGAAAATCAATTACATTAAGACCTGCTACTTTAAATGTCAAGGCCATATACCAACCTGTGTAAATAGTAACTGATTTAATAGTAATATTCGTTAGAGATTGTCCACTTATAACATGACCTGTAGATACATAACGAGCGACAATTGCATCTCCAATACCGAAATACATCTGCCATGCCACAGGAATACGAAGTACACCATTTGAAACTAAAGTTGTATTTGCATTGTTTGGTGGTGTCTGATAAACTTCATATGCTCTTGAACCAATGGCTGGTCTCATCAATGTCGGATCATATCGAAGAATAGCTGATACTTGTCGATTAATATCAGGTCGATGAGGTGGTACTATTTGTACATCAAGATAAGTCGAAGTTGCATTCACAACATACCCAGCAGTAAATGGAAGTGGATCATAATCAATCGATAATGAACTAATCAGCATTGTATTAATACCCTGAATCCAAAACATTCCTGATGGACGATGACCAAGCAGTAGAGTTTCATACATTCCTTGCCCCATGATTGTCAAATTAGTAGCGCCATAAATTGTGAATCCTCCAAAACAATCATAAGTACCGGATTCAAATAGTACAATATTGTTTCGTCCATACGAAGCAGCATCATTGAGAGCGTTTTGAATTCCGCTTGTATCATCGATATTATCATTTGGATAGGCACTATAGTTTGATACCAGAAAAGTTCGCCCTTCAATATCCAAATAGCAAAGTGAAACAATGAGGAAGATTAAGCATCCATAAACAAATCCCATTTTCATCAAATAATTTTTGATTGATAAATAATCACCAATGACAAAATCAGATTTTATGAGAAAATTTGTAGTGTGAATAGTCTTCAATTTTTTCTCTTGCTTTACTCACTGTCGTTTATATAGGAACAAATAAAACGGCGTGATTCAAAAATAATCCGAATAAAATGTTCGCAGCAGGAAAATGTACTTTGTCAGAATATAGGTTAATAACCTGACTCGCTCTTTGTTAAATAAAATATTGCATGTATTTCTCATACGACATACATTTTAATCGCAAAATAAACACAAGCCGAAGAGAAAAAAAACGAAGAATGACGACAGCAATGCAAGATGATGCCTGGTTAATACACAATGTCTTCACAGTGGTTTTGTTCTTTCAGCATAATAATATAGGTTAAATTCCAGATTTTCTATTCATTCTTTTTTCAACAAAATAATATGAATGTCACGCTCTCGTTTACATGATTTGTCCTTATTTTGTTGATTGCTCTTGCATTCTATATGGTCTTATAACCTTATTTTTCCCTCTCTTAGGTGGACGAATATTCGACTATATATTTCGCATCAGAACGATGGGATCCTTGAGAAGAAGTAAACGAGCGTATAGTTTCACCTCTTCTATTAGAAATCATCACGATGAGGTCATTTGTTTTAACCAATACTTTCAAATAATTGTTATTTTTTCATGTATGATAAAAGCAGTTAATAGTATGTACACCATCCAAGAATAAATTAGCTTTTTTACATTCGAATTACACGTAGGTTGCCAGGGGATCATTAAAAATAGGCAATGTGAGGACATTGGACTCTCACAGTACATTCACTCTTATGAATTTTTTCTTATTCGTTTTTCATTAATACTGCATAAGTATGAGAAATGTATACGTAGATCTTGTAGAGCAGAACGAGCAACGCAATTCTATGCAAATAACTTTCTTGTTCTCTTTCAATTTCATATTTATTCCCTCGACTGAAAGGAAGGTCATATGAAAAAAAAGTTTGTGTATCGATGTGTATGTGTGTCAGGGACAAAGGTTAAAAAACATTGTTTTCGCAAATTCTTAAAAGTCGAAAAGCACTGTGTTGAGTGGGTCTAATGATCAGAAAAACTGTGATACATAAAAGATTAACCTGTTCATTCTCAATCACGTGGCCTTGTGGCCCACCACCTAGAATTGTGCAAACAAAATATTCTCGTTGAAGTGTGTCACTTTGATAAAAACTTTTGACGTGCTTCGTACGTTAAACTGGGTGAGCGTTCAATTTGAAAGAAATACCAAGTCAACGTTTCTTTGTCAAAAGCATTTATCGGGTTGGTTTGAATACTTTCAAAATGATTTATCATTGTCACGACTATCGGAGAAATTACATCCGAATTCAATTTCAGAATTATAGATTTCTAGTCGTTCAGGTTTACTATCTTAGAAAATTGCCCAAAGACGGGCGTTTTATAGTGAATTTTCAATCACACATTTAGTGATGAGCTGGACTTTAAGCCATTCTTATTTTATTCGAACTTATTCAAATTCGTATCAAAAAGTTTACTTCTGTCGAGTATTTATCTCTTTGTTGCGCCTCAATCGAACAAAATTATTATTAAAAAAAAGGATCAGCCATAAAGAGTTCACCACATGACTAATTAGATGGATATTGCTCTAAGTCGCTAATACCAATTCAGTCTTTATCATTCAAAATATTTTAATTATCAACAGCTCTAAAATTTGAAAAACAAGCACATAAAATTTCATTACAACATGCATTATTACAATATCATTAGGCAAAAACTTCTGTTTATTTGTCGATCAATTTTAAGAATTAAATCCGAAGAAATCAGGGATTGATTAAGCAAAAGTTATTAACTTTGATGAACTATCCTGGTAAACATCTTCTCAAGGCACTTTTATATTCACGAACAGCTTTATCAAATGCTTGTTTATATGTGGTTGATGGCAAGATAAAGAGAACAAATGTAAGCAACGTTGGAATTAGTGATATATAATATCCTAGAAGAAATAGCCACGAATGATTACCAGATTCCATACAACCTGATACAACTGTGAGAATTAAACGTGGAATACCAAGTATAGTCAATACAAATGGTCCAATGAGGAAACTGCGATGCTTTTGTATTTCTTCCTGTAATACTCGTTTAAACGTTCGTCGTTTTTGCAGATTTACTTGCTGTTTAGTACTGATAGTGATGATTAGGATAGCCGATGTGATATTGATAAGAAAAGGTAAGACAAGATGCGAAATACTTATGATTGAATTGTATAGTTGCATAGCAGTTGGATATTCAACAACACACCAAATTCGATTTTGTTCATCATTGCTTTCTATGAATAATTTTCGATGAATTGGATCATGAATAGTTGTACCAATAACGACTGATAGCAAGACGAATATGACCCAATTAGCCAACGATCGTGTTTTTTTCTTGTTAAAATTTAGGCCTTTGATGACAATAAATGATCGTTCAATACTAACACATGCAATTAACCATTGATCCATTGTTAAACAAAATCGGAGAAGAAAGTCTATGCAATAGCACTGCGCCTTTAGAAATACTTGATTCTGAATTAATTTTATATGTGACAATAGAAGTATTGAGAATTTCAATGCAAATATCACACTTGTCAATAAAATAAAGATCGATGAACATAAAAGATAAATCCCACAACCGGATTGTCGAATGACTTTGTCTTTAAAAGTAATCAATGATAAAATAACATTAATTAAACTCACAACTATCACAATGGTAGTTATGATTATACTCAGGATAACTAGGTACGATTGATTAGATATTCCATATTTTGGTTGGATATGATAACCAAGAATGGCATCCAGAGATAAGCTAAAGCCATACGTACTTAATTGACATTGGGTACCATAATAACATTTAGCACATACACATAATGATGTCGTTGGACATATCAAATTATCTTGAAGACAATCACCACCATGCATACAACCACTTCTGCTCGAACATCTCTGCGTATTATTATGTGCAAATTCCATACAATTCGAAACATGTTTACCGTAGTGGTATTGGCATATACATAAGTAGGTTTCATCATAGAAACAAGCCAAAGGTTGAGATGAACATGGCTGGTGGTAATATTTAATACGATGAAGAATATGAAGGTTTAAAACAGTTTTATTGAATAATTCATTAATATGTAGACAACGATCTGACGGATGAAGCGTTCGTTGAATTATCGCCGATAGATTATGTTGTTTTTGTAGGATACTTAAATAGTATTTTTCATTCCACTCGATGAACATAAGATGAAATTCATATGGCCAATAGATAGTCACAGAACGTTGCCCGAATGGAATTATTTTATAATTGGTGGCATGCTGCGGCATTTTCTTTTCAGCAACTGTAATAAAATGCATATAAATGGCAGCTGGTACAGAAATTCCATTACCGAATGCAACAGTGATTTTTGTTTGAAGTGTTTCGCATCTTTCACCGGTAAATGCCTTCGAACAAATACAAATGACTTGTTTATCAATTGTTCGATATTCATTGATAATTAAACATCGACCACCATTTAAACATATTGGTTTTTTGTTATTTTCGCATAAGAAGGTATTATTTAGCAAGCATCGACTACCCATTTTCTGCAAAGGACAAACGCAGATCGATCGATTGCTTTGTAAAGTACCAATACATAAGGAATCTGATGAGCATGTGCAATGATGTGAAATATCACAATGACGACCACTCAATCCAGGTTTGCATTGACAAAAAGTCCGACCATTTAAATCATCGAAATATTTGATGCATTTCCCATTGATACATTGATTGTCTAAACAATTCTCCGGTTTGTCAAAAATACTTGGTACGTTCATTTGAAATGACAGACGATAGACTGGTAGGAATGTGAATAAAATTATTTTGAGCATACTTCCCCGATGAGTCAATGTTTCTCTTTCATAAATATCGATATGAATAAAATATTCCTTGTTTGCATCTTTGGGTCGAGCAGAATATAATAGATAAAAGTTGAATTTCTTCTGACAATACCTTTTTGATAAATAGGTGATTTGTTCATTGGAATGAATCATTTGTTGAGAACTATTGTCCATCAATGAGAAAACGATTATAATTGGTATTTCTATCGAATCTGATGAAACAAGAAATTGGACTGTAACACTGATTCGTTGGTTTTGAAATTGGCACTGATTTCCATAGAAACTAGGTGGACAAAGGCAAACTAATTCTGTTAAGTTGCTTTTTTTATTTAGCCAAACTTGTAGGTCCAGGCCTCGATGACAACGTTGTCGATGACTTTTAGTTTCAGCAGTCGGGTGAAGAGATTGTGTATGACTGATCTTGCCAGCGGCTTTTGTTGTGTGTAACCTTGGAGTTTTTTCTAGTTTAAAATGCGATGAAACGATGGCAATATAGTCTACTTTGTAAAACGGACCACAAAATACGTTTTGAGGGTCAGAAACGGCATCAGAGTCTGACGATTCGCAAAACCAGGTGTTCGGCTCATTGTCACTAATACTGCTACATATATGTTCATCCTCACCATTTTTACAATGCGGTGTTCCATCGCATACCTGATACCATCGTATACAAGATCGACGACTGCTATTTAAACAATGAAACGTGCCATCCTCAATAGCTCGTGCTCCCAGTCGACATATGTTGGGTTCATCAGTAGCACCAATGCAGTCAACAACACCATCATTCGCTTTCCCGATGGGTAAACATATGAGCTCATTCGTCTTAAATGAGCCACATATATGACTATCTGATGAACAATTTAATACTGGCAACGGGTTGCAATTAAGTTCATCAGCACCATTTGGACAGTTCCACCAATTATTACAACGAGTGTAAATATTGTTACACGCCCATTGTTCACAGTCTGTTTCATCAGTTTGATTTCGACCATCAATTAGTTTGGGGTAAAGATGTGTCGTGTGGTCACAAATTAGAGAGAAAATAATTTTACTTCGAAAATCCTGACCTGCGCCACTACTTTCATCATCACATTTGGTTGACTGTCCGCCGACTTGGTTCGGTGTACAATGGCACACCCCATCACGAACTAAACGAAGAGGAATGCATTCGTTCATTGTCTTACACTTAAAATAATTCGGCGACTGTTGCGTCGAACAATTCCTGTTCAACATCGAGACATCTTCGTCGTCATTGTGGTAACAATCTTGAATCCTATCTAACAAACGATGTTTAGAGACACATTTGTTCGAATCAATGCATCGATACAGGTTGTATTCGCGACATAATTTTGAATCATTATAAATTGATGATGACCATATTCGCAACCATCGATATAATGGATCAATATGTGATTTAATCCAGCCAGGTGTGTTCCTATCGTCATTCACTATTGAATCCCGATGAAAACGTCATGTCATATTATCAAGTAGTGTAAATGTTTCTTCATCAGCAGGTAAATGAAGAAGTGTACCATTGTAACAAACATAGGTTGGTTTGGGAATATCTGTGTCGCTATCTGTATATCGTAAAGCCTTATTTTCATAGGTTATAACTATATGAGTCAATAAAATCGGACGAGCTGTTGCATAAATAATACTGGGACAACTTTTTGTGACAATGTCATCGCACGTTCCATCAGTACAAAATTCGCGACAAAACTTTTCGCTTGAAACAGGCATATGGATGATGCATTTGAATGCTTTCCAACATTCATCGGATTTTATACTTATTGGTTTGATAGAGAACAGTGTGTCGAAGATTAATTCGTCGCGTTTCTCAACGCATGAACTAGAAATATGATTCAAGAGGAAATTACCTATTTTNAGTAACTAACATCAGATTTGGATTCCTCGACCTTTAAAACCCTTTCGTCAGTCTTTATAAAAAAAGTTGCTCCTTTGTCTCAAAAAAAATCTTTTTATGAAAATTTCAAAGAGCTGACATCAGATCCATGTTCCTCGATCCAAAAAGCCTTTGGTCAAGTTTCATGGAAAAAAATTTTTTTCATAAAAAAATGGTCCTTTGTCCCAAAAAAAAATTTTTTTCATAAAAAAATGGTCCTTTGTCCCAAAAAAAATTTTTTTTATGAAAAATTTCGAGAAACTAACATCAGATTTAAATTCCTTGACCTCAAAAACCTTTTGGTAAAATTTTATAAAAAAAATCTTTTTTTGTAAAAAAGTGGTTCTTTGTCTAAAAAAGTATTTTTTATGAAAAATTTCCAAAAAATAACATCAGATTCGAGTTCCTCGACCCAAAAAACCCTTTGGTCAAGTTTCATGGAAAAAATTTTTTTTCATAAAAAGATGGCCCTTTGTCTCAAAAAAAGTTTTTCTACAAAAAATTTCGAGAAACTAACATCAAATTTGAATTCCTGGACCCTAAAAACCCTTTGGTAAAATTTTATGAAAAAAAAAATTTTTTTGTAAAAAATTGGGTCTTTGTCTCAAAAAAACTTTTTTTATGAAAAATTTTCAAAAAATAACATCAGATTCGAAGTCTCCGCATCGAAATACATCTATAAATGTCTTTTCGGAAAAATCGATTTTCAATGTTTTTTTGACCCTGCGGACATACAAGCAAACAAGCAAACAAGCAAGCAAGCAAGCAAACAATTTATGTTTCTAAGACTCTTCTCTACGAGAAAGAGAACAAATCTAACGTGTATGCTCATAAAATCATAGTTAGAGAAAGGTTTTGATAAAAGTTAATGTTGATTTCCATAGAATGTGCATTTCTTTATAGAGAAAAAAAAGTACCGTTCTAATTTGGACATATTTGTCCTCAAATAAACGAGATTTCCCTTGAAATTTTATTAGTCTCTTCTTATCGACGTTAGTAAAGCAACACTTATGGCAAAAGAATACATCAATACAAATCTAAATTCTAAGATGAACCACCATAACAATCAGAACTGAATGACAGAGTGTATTGGTGTAGAATTATCAGTTTCATACGAAAACTACCCCATATGGCTTTTAGTCAGTACAAGTGTGCCGCGAATGTTCAAATGACCTTTTCTAGTCAAGACTTTTGTATTAAAACTAAAACAATATGTTTGAAAGTAGTATTTGTCATTTAGTCACTCACCCTTCTCATCATAGATCTTTACTGATAAGTGGTAAAATAATTATTACAGTTATCACTCGTATGTAATTCCAGATATCGTATTTTTCGTTTGCCACTGATTGTCTGAAATGATCTGACTTTCATCATTTACTCTTTCGTAAGGGTGTCGGTAGATTACGCCTGATCTCAGTTTATTATACTTTTCTTTCGTACGACTTGTCACATAGTTTTGTTGATGAATGAAGCATGCGTTAAGATGTATGTCAATCAGATGACTTCATATGGTATTTCTTGCGCGTTCTGTCTATGACAGCATATATGTATTTTTCTATTCTTCTATATCATACGTTCACAACATCATACAGATGTTCGTTCGCTCTATATGACGTCGTGTTATATGACTACCATATGTTATACAGACATATGTCACAGTTGACATGAGGATCTAGTTGTGTTTGGAATGTGCGGAAAAAATAGAAGAGGAAAAAAATTAACAATTTTTTCCGTCCCTGTATAAATTTTCAATGTCCCGTATATTGCCACCCTGGAAAGAAAACAGAGTCAGCATAAGCTATCTAAATAAATCAAAATTTCCTTTACCGTTTTATATAATTCTCAACGATCTTTCGAAATTTCAAAATATTTTCGTACACAGTTATAGATTCTATCTATTTCTCTTTCAAACGTAAAAAAATATAGATTTAGATATTATTGTGAAACACGATCCGAAGGAGAGTGCTGAAGTATTTAAGGGTAAAAATTTTGACCACTACCCACAGACCGTCTCTGACAGGGCGAAATTCATACTTCGACCAAAAGATTCAAAGATCATTAGGCATAAGCGGTTAACTACATACGGGTGCGCTGTAATAGCCTACCTTATATAGAGAGTAAAGGTTCATATGTGTAATAGTCTATTTGCAGTAAAAACATCTAAAGCGGACGTATTTGCTATTAAGCTAACTGTTCCTTTCTTTTTGTAAGACAGGACTCGCAGAAAGATGTTCAAGACTTTTGGAAGACAGAGGGATTTTCCGCCCGCTAATCCTTATCCCGTAGATCATTACGGGCTCTAACGGGAGTTATTGTTGCCGCCTGCTTTTTGGCACGCTTGTAACCTATAACCCGTCTGTCCTGGAGTTGTTACTATACATGACCGTAATTCGCTGTTTTCTGAAAAGACGTGGACCTAAAAAATGAAGAGCGAGAGCTTGTTAGGAGAAAATCCAAATAAATTGTGTGTCATTGTCTCACAGCCAGGTTCGTTCTCAACTTCGTTACGCTGACGCGCGTAAATCGCGTCACACATCGTGATCGGCCAATGGAAGCGCAGTAAGAAGTATCACATATTTGTGACTGATGAAGCAAAAATTTCTTAAAAAGCAGCGGACATCGCTATTAGTAGTCATATGTTATTTTCAACAGTATAAGTTTAAGCTTCTTAGGATGTTTCGTCCTTGCTTAAGGATTCATCAAGCAAGTTCGGAATTAGAATCTACATAAGAATAAACAAACTATTATCGAAATAAAAAAGGCAGTTGGCACAGCTGCAAGAATGCTGATCTTTAAGTTCGCTTCCAAGGAAATTTTTCCTTTCAGTTTACTTAAGTTGATAATCTTTGAACTTAGTGAAAATCTTTTACAGCAATTGAGATTTTGTTATCCATAAAGAAAAACATATTGGACTAAACGAATTATGAATAGAAAAAGAACTTTATTCTGTGTTTTGCTACTCGTCATCTGAATCTGTTTCTTCGCTGTCAGACTGCAACTGTGGTTCTATATATTCCTCCATAATTGCATCCGCAGTTTTATACATTTCTTCAATTTCATGAACATGATGAAAGTATGAAGTTGCACGCTTATCATCCATCGCCAGCATAAGCTGCTCAATCAGTTGTTTTACATTTTCCTGACGAAACGTTATGTTTTGATCATGAACGAATTGTTTGAGATTATTCCATGACAGCTCTATAGGATTGGGACTACAGTGTAGTTTTGGAAGACGAAATATTTCTATATCATATTTCTTTCCAATTTGATCACTCTATTCAACGAAATAGTGAAGAATAACATAGTTCGAATAGCACTTAGAAATGACTAACAATATATTCTTTTGGTGAACAATTAGCATCCACTAGTTCTAACAATTGAACTTTAATGAATTTTTCTATCTTTCAACCATTGTTGAATATCGGCCTTTGCTGAAGCACGTTTCGCAATCACTGATTCTTCTGTGAGTTTGTTGTGCCAAGTCGCGTTGTCCAGACAAATATCAATCCTTTTTCTTCTCCTAAGAAGAAAGTGTCGGAGATCATTAATGAAAAGCACGACTCAAAATGTGTCAGTTTACCAATTTACTCTCTTAAGGTTGCGCAAGTTGAATTTGAGCACATGAGAAAATGAGATCAGTCCATATTGTAATCCTCGGCACATGTCCGAATAACAACTGATGGGATGTGATAACCATCGACGTCTATAAGTGCTGATACTGCCAGACGAGATCCTGTAAACCAGAAAAAAACGACATGTGGAAGAATTATTCACGAGTGACATCATGGTCTACCTTCCGTCCACTTTTTTTTAATTTCTCCTTCGCCATTTAGTGTCCAAATAGATCGTTTAACTTCTCGAAGATTTATCCAAGTTTCATCATGATAGTATAAGTATACATTATCTTTTCTAAACTCTTCAAGAATTTGAAATATTTCGCGCTTGTCGCAACAAAAGCTTGTGAATCCAATGCAATTTTTATCTTTGATGTTCGTTGGTATACGAAACCAAGCTAGAAAATAGTAAAAAGCGATGCAGTGTATTTTCTTCTCTTTTTCATCTACGTGAGAATAGCATTTCACTTACGTTCTTCATTTTTTTTACATAACGTACTTGTTGAATAAATCGGAAAATCTGCGTATTGCTCTGTCAACCTTTTCAGCAGTTTTTCCAAAGTTGGATACACTTTTTCTTGAACAAGTTTGTCAAATTTAACTCGACTTAAGTCTTTTCCTTGCTCGGATAAAACAATATTCGGACGACCAGAATGCACTAAAACCAGAACAGTTAACTTTCAAACTATTCATAGAAAAAAATTTTACTTTGCTTCTCAGGAAATAATGCTTGAGGAACAAGATGATCGACATGATTCGTCGATGGATAGGTAGAAGATGCAGTATGTCGACGACAAAGGATTTTAGCTGGTGCATTCGACGTTGAATATTGCTGCCGTTTGAGTGTTGAATATACAATAGTACGACTACGAAGATTTTTTACACTTGTCTCTCCCATCTCTTTTCGTTCCTGTGATATCTTCTTCATTTCTTTACATCTTGAATGGTGTAATTCATGCGTTAATCTGTACACCGATCTTTCTGATATATTTAACATTTTAACAAGACGCTCTTTCAGGTTATAAAGAGGAATGACTGGACCATTGTTCTCACTTTCAACAGAATCAATAACGTGAAACATTAGTTGTTTCACTTCTTACAAAAACTCATGACCTGTTGGCATTGTAACTAAATATACTATCTATAAGATAAGGCATGTGCATATCAAAGAGAAAAAGAAAAAAATAATCGAGAGAATTATCGCAAACCTATACTATTTTTCCTTTCTTTTCTCTATTTTATCATCATATACTGACAAACACACTCTAAAGGAGTGACTAAGTAGTGTCATATAAGATTTCGAAAAGCAATAATTTTCTTTTATATTGCTTAGGATAGTAAAAAACTTGTATTTTGCTTATACTTTGATCAAATTTTCTTGAGGGTGGGTGTGTGTGTATGTGCTAAATTTCGTCAGCAAAAATCCACCTGACAAAATACTTCCAATGGTGACTTCCCCACATACGTATTTGCTCCCGGCCCTCCTCTATTGAATGATGGAAACCGCAGTTCGAAATAACTTTTCAATCAAAAGCTACACAACTTTCTTCCAACTGTATTTTATATACACACAAGAAGCACAAGCATAGTGCCGCGAAATATAGACGAGGAAGAAATACATATTGGGGGAAAAAAAGAAAAATCAATGGCGCCATACATTGATAACAGATTCGAAAGGAAAAAGATGACAAAAATTTTCAACCGTCATATATGACGTAAGAAAAAAAATGTGAGAGAAATTATCTCTCGAAGTCAACAAAGAAAAGAAGGACATTGAAATCTTCGCATCTTTTCAACGATATATATATATAAATGGCGTTTCAGAAGTTCTGAGGTAAGTCTGTAAAATCTATCGGTCTTGGACAGTTTATTGTGTATGTTAAGTACTACACTGTTACTACGGAAGAGAATCGATGGAAACATCATTATCCATTTTTCACTTTATTATGCACAGAAATGAAAACACGAATGATAATACAGGCTGTGACGACGGTGAATACGGTGAAGAAAGTCTGCCGTTTGCGAAAAGAAGTTTCTATTTATGCAGTTTTTGTAGAGCTTTCTATGGTGCATCATTTGAAAGAAAAATGACTCGTTTCTGACTTTCTCGAGCTGAGATACACGCAAAATGAAAAGATCTCCGAAGGTTTTTGATCCAACGCAATATTGAGTACCATGGGCGTTTTTACTTCTGCGTATAATAAAGTAATAAGACAAGTGAATAATGTTTTGTAATTTGTGATTTTATAGAGGTTTTAATGGTCCATCTGTTAGAAAAAGTTCAAGACTCTGTCACTTATGTCTACGAAGATATCAATATTCTAGCCATGTTAGAATACAGAAAAAAGCGTGTCAAAAATATATGATGATGTTTCCACTGATTCTCTTCCGTATTAATAGTGTAGCACTTAAGATATACAATAAATTATCAAGGTTTCAAACGTTTTCCTCTTGTTAAATGAGAGATAGATAAATTTTACAGACTTACTTCAGAACTTTTGGATCACCCTTTATATATGTACAGGTTATGCCTACGAGCAAATAAAATAGTTCTCAAAGTAATAGATATAACAACCTAAATTAGTCGCATCATGCATCGAAAAGCTGTTACAGTGATCCTTTTGAATTCACTCATTATTCCAATCATTCTGGCCGGTGACAACTTGCCGAGAGCTCGAACCGAACAAGGTGTTTATATTGGTAGTCGATCAACAATAAACGACATAACTGTTGCCTGTTGGTATGGTATACCCTACGCTGAACAACCTGTTGATAATCTTAGGTGGTTGCCTCCTCTACCTCTTCCAACGTCAAATGATATCAATATTGCCGATACTGCTACTTTATGTCCGCAACTGAGCAGTTTTGAACCGCCATATACCGAAGCTTGTCTTACACTGAATGTGCACGCTCCCGAAAACGCAAGCAATTTACCTGTCTATGTTTGGATTCATGGAGGTAGTTTTACGACAGGTGCTGGTGGATCGTATAATGCTACTCCATTCGTTATCACAAGCATTAACTATTCGGCTCCTATCGTTGTTGTTACCATTAACTATCGAATTGGCCTACTTGGTTTTCTTGCAGATGAAGCATTTTATAATGGGAAATCAGGAGTCGATGGGAGAAGAACGACAGGTAATTATGGAATCTTAGATCAAATTATGGCACTCGACTGGATAAAGAAGAATATCCGTAGTTTTGGCGGTAATCCAGAAGAAATCACTATCGGCGGTGAAAGTGCTGGTGGCATCTCTGTCAGTGTTCTCCTGACATCGCCATTAGTTAAGACTGGCACATTTCAAAGGGCGATTATTCAAAGTGGTGGTATATGGCCCAATGCTACTAAGGATCTTCAGACAGCATTTGATGATAGTGGAAATATTTTGAGACCTCTGGTGAATTGTAGTACAGTAGAATGTCTACGCAATTTAACGGTCAAGCAAATCCTTCGAGCTCAAAAAACGATCGCGTCGAAGAATATTTTTGGAACAGCTGCAACTCCAGTCGTTGATGGTTATGTTTTAAATGATACAATAGAAAACAGTTATGCAAGAGGAAATTTTCAAAAAGTTCCCATTCTTGTTGGATCCACTACCAATGAAACGGCATTATATACATGTCAAGTCTTTAAAGGATCAGCTACTGAAGCACAGGTTCAAGAATTTTTCCAATCAATATACAATTCAAACATGATCAGTCAGTTTCCTGATGTTTACGGACCAATGTCAGTCTATAACGAATCATTAACTTATTTAAATATTATCTACAGTGATTCGTGGTTGCATTGCGGATCTAGACGTATCGCTGCGCAGTTCTCTAATTCAAAATTACCTTCTTATTTGTTTACATACAACCATCTTATACCTGTTACGCCACGTTGTTTTGGTGTGACCCACTCTACCGAACTGCCCATGTTTTTTCCGTCTCTTGTGCAGCGTTATTTTCCCAAGTATAATTTAACTGAAGAGGAGAAACAGCTTTCTATTAACATGATGCGATATTGGGTGAACTTTATTCGAACATCCAATCCTAACTTCGAAGGCAGTGCAATAAATTGGGATACTTATTCAATCAATTCGGATAACGATTTAGTTCTTGACACTGCTCTACGAATGAGAAATTATCATTATAAAGTTGCTTGCTCATCTCTATGGGATCTTTATGCAACCACAAACGGTACTCCGACATCAAGTGCCATAAGTTCTACGAAAAGCCGACAATATTTTCTATCATTTTTCTGTACTGTTTTTTTCCAAGCCATTCTTTGTACTTTTGCGCGTTTTTAGTGATCTGTTCTGGAGTTGCTTCCTAATGAATTATTCTTAAATATTTTTGGCTATTTCACTGCTCGAGAACTCTATTGTCTTTTTCATTCACTTAATTCTAGAATCAAAATCATTATAGATAGTATATCTGATCTATAGCTTACAATTACAAATAATGATTTAGCTATTTCCTTGCCTATCAAATGGCTAAATTTAGTATTTATCGTTGTAAGCAAATTGATATTCATCAATTTCCTAATATTCGGTCTCACCCCACGTCAACATCCCTCGCGCGGTATCAATTGGAGAGAGACGGACGAACGAACTATTAGATCATAGGAGTTATATTTTACAAATCATATACTATTAAAGTATGTGAATAAACGGTTCAAAACAATAAATGCCAAAAATATTAATCATATCTTGATCTTAGCTACCCAGGCCCAGGTCATTGCGGCTCGATCGGTTCCAGCCGGCAATGTTTATTTTCCGACGATTTCCTTGCCGTCGAAATGATCGAGCTGGTACTATCTTCGTTTTTGTCACTTCTGCACAAATTGTAGTGGTCAAGCGCAAAACAAAATATGGTTTCTGACATTTTCGCATATGCTCTATAAACTGGTAATATCAACCTCTTAAACTTTTGGTCCTACGAGTTGACACGTTACGCGTTTAAGCCGGTACATATTATCTAAGTAGAATGGCTGACTCACGTCAGCATAATATTGAACGACGAGAATGTGAAAGGCAATACGTATCCTCTCCATTCTCATCCTCAGCACACGTATGTCTAATAAGTCACTCAAAATATTTTGATTATTCACAGCTCTGAAATTCAAACGATAAGCACATAAAATTTCATTACAACATGCATTATTACAGTATCATTAGGCAAAAACTTTTGTTTGTTTGTCGATCAATTTTGAGAATTCTATCCGAAGAAATCAGCGATTGATTAAGCAATATATATTAACTTTGATGAACTACCCTGGTAAACCATGTTCTCAAGGTACTTTTATATTCACGAACAGCTTTATCAAACGCTTGTTTATATATGGTTGACGGCAAAATAAAGAGAACAAATGTAAGCAACGTTGGAATTAGCGATATATAATATCCTAAAAGAAATAGCCACGAATGATTACTAGATTCCATACAACCTGATACAACTGTGAGAATTAAACGTGGAATACCAAGTATAGTCAATACAAATGGTCCAGTGAGGAAACTGCGATGCTTTTGTATTTCTTCCTGTAATACTCGTTTAAACGTTCGCCGTTTTTGCAGATTTACTTGCTGTTTAGTACTGATAGTGATGATTAGAATAGCCGATGTGATATTGATGATAAAAGGTAAAACAAGATGTGAAATACTTATGATTGAATTGTATAGTTGCATAGCAGTTGGATATTCAACAATACACCAAATTCGATTTTGTTCATCATTATTTTCTATGAATAATCTTCGATGAATTGGATCATGAATAGTTGTACCAATAACGATTGATAGCAAGACGAATATGACCCAATTAGCCAACGATCGCGTTTTTTTCTTCTTAAAATGTAGACCTTTGATGACAATAAATGATCGTTCAACACTAACACATGCAATTAACCATTGATCCATTGTTAAACAAAATCGGAGAAGAAAGTCTATGGAATAGCACTGCGCCTTTAGAAATACTTGATTCTGAATTAATTTTATATGTGAGAATAAAAGTATTGAAAATTTCAATGCAAATATCACACTTGTCAATAAAATAATGATCGATGAACATAAAAGATAAATCCCACAATCGGATTGTCGAGTGACTTTCTCTTTAAAAGTAATCAATGATAAAATAACATTGATTAAACTCACAACTATCACAATGGTAGTTATGATTACACTCAGAATAACTAGGTACGATTGATCAGATATTCCATACTTTGGCTGGATATGATAACCAAGAATGGCATCCAGAGATAAGCTAAAGCCATACGTGCTTAATTGACATTGGGTACCATAATAACATTTAGCACATACACATAATGATGTCGTTGGACATTTTAAATTATCTTGAAGACAATCACCACCATGCATACAATCACTTCTGCTCAAACATCTCTGCGTCTTATTATGTGCAAATTCGAAACAATTCGAAATATGTTGACCATAGTGGTATTGGCATATACATAAGTAGGTTTCATCATAGAAACAAGCCAAAGGTTGAGATGAACATGGCAGGTGGTAATATTTAATACGATGAAGAATATGAAGGTTTAAAATAGTTTCATTGAATAATTCATTAATATGTAGACAACGATCTGACGGGTGAAGCGTTCGTTGAATTATTGCCGATAGATTATGTTGTTTTTGTAGGATACTTAAATAGTATTTTTGATTCCACTCGATGAACATAAGATGAAATTCATATGACCAATAGATAGTCACAGAACGTTGCCCGAATGGAATTATTTTATAATTGGTGGTATGCTGCGGCATTTCATTTTTATTAACTGTAATAAAATGGATATAAATGGCAGTTGGTACAGAAATACCATTACCGAATGAAACAGTAATTTTTGTTTGAAGCTTTTCGCATCTTTCACCGGCAAATGCCTTCGGACAAATACAAATGACTTGCTTATCGATTGTTCGATATTCATTGATAATTAAACATCGACCACCATTTGAACATATTGGTTTTTTGTCATTTTCGCATAAAAAGGTATTATTTAGCAAGCATTGACCACCCATTTTCTGCAAAGGACAAACGCAGATCGATCGATTGCTTTGTAAAATACCAATACATAAGGAATCTGATGAGCATGTGCAATGATATGAAATATCACAATGACGACCACTCCATCCAGGTTTGCATTGACAAAAAGTCCGAACGTTTAAATCATCGAAATATTTGATACATTTCCCATTGATACATTGACTGTCTAAACAATTCTCTGGTTTGTCAAAAATACTTGGTACGTTCATTTGAAATGACAGACGATAGACTGGTAGGAATGCAAATAAAATTGTTTTGATCATACTTCCGCGGTGAGTCAATGTTTCTCTTTCATAAATATCGATATGAATAAAATATTCTTTGTTTGCATCTTTGGGTCGAGTGGAATATAGTAAATAAAAGTTGAATTTCTTCCGGCAATATTTTTTTGATAAATAAGTGATTTGTTCATTGGAATGAATTATTTGTTGAGAACTATTGTCCATCAATGAGAAAACGATTATAATTGGTATCTCTATCGAATCTGATGAGACAAGAAATTGGACTGTAACACTGATTCGTTGGTTTTGAAATTGGCACTGATTTCCATAGAAACTAGGTGGACAAAGGCAAACTAATTCTGTTAAGTTGCTTTTTTTATTTAGCCAAACTTGTAGGTCCAGGCCTCGATGGCAACGTTGTCGATGACTTTTAGTTTCAGCAGTCGACTGAAGAGATTGTATATGACTGATCTTGCCAGCGGCTTTTGTTGTGTGTAACCTTGGAGTTTCTTCTAGTTTGAAATACGAATGAATGATGACAGTAACGTCTGCTTTGTAAAACGGGCTACAAAATACGTCTTGTGGGTCAAAAACGGCGTCAGTGGTTGACGATTGACAAAACCAGGTGTTCGGTTCAGCATCACTAATACTACTACATATATGTTCATCCTCGCCATTTTTACAATGCGGTATTCCATCGCATATCTGATACCATCGTATACAAGATCGACGACTGCTGTTTAAGCAATGAAACGTGCCATCTACACCAACTCGTTCTCCCAGTCGACATATGTTGGGTTCATCAGTAGCGCCAATGCAGTCAACAACACCATCATTCGCTTTTTCGATGGGTAAACATATGAGCTCATTCGTCTTAAATGAGCCACATATATGACTATCTGATGAACAATTTAATACCGGTGACGGACTGCAATTAAGTTCATCAGCACCATTTGGACAGTTCCACCATTTATTACAGCGAGTGTAAATATTGTTACACGGCCAATGTTCGCAGTCTGTTTCATCAGTTTGATTTCGACCATCAATTAGTTTGGGGTAAAGATGTGTCATGTGGTCACAAATGAAAGGGAAAATAATTTGACTTCGAAAATCCTGACCTGCGCGATTTTCATCATCACATTTAGTGTACTGTCCGAAGATTTGGTTCGGTGTACAATGGCACTTTCCATCACGGACTAAACGAAGAGGAATGCATTCGTTCGTTGTCTCACACTTAAAATAATTCGGCGACTGTTGCGTCGAACAGTTCCTGTTCAACACCGAGACATCTTCGTCGTCTTTGTGATAACAATCTTGAATTCTATCTAACAAACGATGTTTAGAGACACATTTGTGCGAATCAATGCATCGATACAGGTTGTATTCGTCACATAATTTTGAATCATTATAAATCGATGATGACCATATTCGCAACCATCGATATAATGGATCAATATGTGATTTAATCCAGCCAGGTTTGTACCTATCGTCATTGACTATTGAATCCTGATGAAAACGGCATGTCATATTATCAAGTAATATAAATGTTTCTTCATTAGCAGGTAAATGAAGAAGTGTACCATTGTAACAAACATAAGTTGGTTTAGGAATATCTGTGTCGCTATCTGTATATCGTAAAGCCTTATTTTCATAGACTATAAATATATGAGTCAATAAAATCGGACGAGCTGTTGTATAAATAATATTGGGACAACTTTTTGTGACAATGTCATCGCACCTTCCATCAGTACAAAATTCGCGACAAAATTCTTCATTTGAAACAGGCATATGGATGATGCATTTGAATGCTTTCCAACATTCATCGGATTTTATGCTTATCGGTTTGATAGAGAACAGTATGTCGAAGAGTAATTCATCGCGTTTCTCAACGCATGAACTAGAAATATGACTCAAGAGAAAATTACCTATTTTCGCACAGGAAACGTCCTCATATCCGAATGTTGGTTCGCCTGAGAACTTAGTCTCAAAAGATGGTAACATATCATCAAATAGTGAATCATCGTAAAGATCAAGACAATCGAAATGAAACTCCACTTCACGAAGAAACGCCATGGGTATACATTGCCCATCGAGACAGCGAAATTCGTTCTCATTACACTGGTTTATTTCCATTTGCCAACAGTGTTCTTCGTCGCGGCCACCATCGAAGCAATCGACTTTTCCATCACATATTTCAGTCCAATCAAGACAAACGGCCGGTGAACCTCGATCGCATTGTAGATGCATGTAACATGTTAGGCTCGTTGGTTCGTACGGATTGGTTCTGTAATATGCTCTAACGATTTGATCCAGCGATGATTGATGAGATTTGTAAGCAAGTAAACTGTATTCACAGGATGGACCAAAATTTGGCAGTGTACAGTTGTAGAAAATTTCTTTACCCATGGACTCGAGAGTCAAATCGGACAAGCTATCAAGATAATTCTGATACCGTTGAATAATATCCATTGGTGCTGACCAAAGATATAACTGTTCACTGGTGATGCTTTCCGATGCTAATTGAACAAAGGTAAACTTCGAATCGATATGATTGTCTTGTATATTCCACGTCGATGGCCATTCACTGAGACAATAGGGAATTATCTGGTAAGGTTCACGATCGTCTGTCACTGCAGATGTAGCATACAGACAGTGATGTAGTAGACCGTCATATTTTTCATCCCCACTCTTCCAATTTGTTAGATACAGATTAATTTGAAGTTGGCTACTGATTGAATGCAAGTTTAGAATGTACAACAAAATGTGAATCAGTAGTGTAGCCATTATTTAGAACGCGTTGATGTAAAAGCAGCTTATGTAAAAAAGAAACTTATCTGGTAGAGGAATAGATGACATATGCTGGCTTTATATCAGTAGTTAAATATTAGTATTGGTGCTTAATGCATTTTTTTCTTCAAGAAGGATTTGACATAAGGCTTGATTAATCATAGATAAGGAAAAACGCTTAACTAGTGGTTTTTACATCGTCCTTTCTCACTACGATTTGGAGCACGACGTGGGTGTCAGTGTTATGGAAAAAATGATGACTTGTTCCAGGATCGGAGATGACATTTAATGTACAATAATTTTGTCTCAGAAGGTTGATTACCTTCATCATTCCGATCTGACGATCACTTGAAGAAATATCTATACAGAGAACAACACTTATGTTTATGTACTTGCTTGTCATGTATCCGAGCTCTGTAATGGATACGTCGCCATCAAACTTTCAACAGTATTCCTCATGGCCCTATGGAGCAGGTCGAGAAGGGGTACATATCTCGATGTAACATCAAGTACGATGATGACGAAAGAGGGTATTAACTCAGCGAGGTATCCTTCGTACTCCTAATTATCATGTGTTGAGACGTTTATGGTTTAATCAGAAGAAGAAGCATGTCGAAAGTGCTTCTAATTGAATTTTCACAAAGTAACCATAGTCTTGGTGCCTCATTCATGTTCACTTGAATAATGGAATGATCTATCTTATTAAAAATACAACCGTTTAGAATGAAGACAAGACAAAGCTTTACGTTAGTTGCGAGGATCTGTTTTCTCTTGCAGAAATAGTGTTTCGTCACTTAAGTGTCAGACATGTTAATCGAAAGGCAAGAATTTCTTAGATTTTTTCCTGTGACTTCTCTCGCACGACAGATGCTTACACATATGATTCTCCCGTGTTTTGCTTCACTCGATAATGCACAGCATCAACAACGTCAATAGGTATCAACTTTAAGATTTGAAGTAATCTGCAAGTTTTCTTGACATTTATGCATCACACGTACGAGAGTCAACAAGATCGTTTGTTTGCTTGGCTCTTTTTAGAAAGAATGTCCTCACAGTCAGTAACATTAACGAATATTTACTATGATATTCGTTCTCGGTATAGTCGGATCTTTGCTGAACATTGCTCTGTTTTCTCGACGACAACTGCGATAAATTTCCTGTTGCACACGTATGTTGAAGAAAATCTTTTCTTTCCTTACACGTTTTTTTTCCGTGTATCAGTCATTTAGATTTTCTTGCTGCATCCTGTCCAAATATCTTTTCATTGTCTTGGGGTATTCTTGCAACACTTTATGGTCTTAACCATGTCTATCCAGGCAGTTTGGCTGCGACTTTCTGTAAACCACTAATTTATTTACCACATATTGGTCTTCAAATGACACGGATCTTTCTGGTTTTGATCGTTACGCTCTGAGTTCACCCAATGGCACCATTCGTAACTGCAGTCAAGTATCAGTCGCCCGTCGAACTGTACCGATCGTGATTGTCAGCTGTCCTTTGATCGTCGTCAACTTCGACAACGACCAAAAGGTTCTATTTATCTTAATGACGCAATTAGCGCTCTATTTTATTTCGACATATATTTATGCGCCGAACAATATCCATACTTTCATCACGCAAACCATTCTAAATAAATCCGTGGATCGACAAATTATCGAAAGTTTTATGACGGGTATTGCCTTGAACCTGATCTATCTCTATCCGGCGCTATCATTTTTTGTTTTTACGTTGGCATGCAGAACCTTCCGAAAGGAATTAATGAAATTATTTCGCTTGTTCTGCTCGTATCGACGAGCACGAACTGAAGTGAAACGCTTAACGGCGCCGACATATCGGATGCAAACGATGGCTAACCATCAGACGAATTCAGTCCTCTAGAAGTTCTTCATTGTTTTCTGTTGTCTGTAACTTGATGGTGATCATTGAGTAGGATAATGTTTAAATAGATGTGCATTTTGTGTTCACCGTTACCCATACCTTTCTTCACTCTGGATTATTGGCCCCCGTATGAATCGCAGTTAATTTTCGAGGGATGAATATTGCATCAACGACTTTACAAAGATCTCCGCCAAGCACAATCATGTACACTCGAATAACCGTTGCACAAAGTGGCCAGACTAACAAACCCAAGGACATATATCAAAAGATGTCTGCAAATGTGGAGAGATCTTTGCCACACTGACTTTTAAATCGCTTGAGTTTTCAGTGTGAAACATCTGGTTAACGAAGAAACAAACTACTGATTTTATAAATCACAACGAAAAAAAGAAGGATAGATGTTGACAAATCAAATAAAACTATACACTGTAACTATGCAGTTGAAAGAAGGACTTCTTCGTCAGAGAAAGGAAATTAATATATTTGTGTTTGATAAACCTTCTAGTTCACGTCAATAAATGCACTAGAGCGTTCGATGAGTGTTGACCATGCACACATGTACAAATATCAAAAAAAGCAAAAATAAATAAATATAATATCCACAATAGGGATCGGTGAACGATGAGTAATTATAAGGTATATACAAATGAATAGCTTAACAGAGGGACTTACGGAAGTTCCGAAAATCTTTCTAAACACTCGCGAATAAAAAAAACAGGATTTTTTCTTATGTTTATGAGCGTTTAGACGTCATTCAACGACCCTTACTTGAACTCAATATTTCTCCATGCGCATATTAATATATCATCTTCGCACTCAATGAGTCAGTGTATTAATTTTTCTTGCTGGGATGACGAGTGGTTTTTATCTATAGCTTGTTCCTTATCTTCTCACTTATTGAAGTAGAAGAAATGAAATCTGCTCTCTGATTTCATACGTTGTGATTTCCTTTCGTCAAACTCATGTCCAGTCAGAAATATTCCATGATTGAAATCCTCCCAAATGAATTATGGTTGAGCATATTTCAATATTTTAATACGGATGATCTTTTTCATACATTTTTCAAACTTAACAAACGAATCGATAGTCTAGTAACCAGTGAGAACAATCTGCATTTGACTTTAAATAACAACTCCGATTATGAACGGTGTATAGACATAATCTTAAACTCAGTCAAATCGCTTTCACAGGTTAAATCATTGACATTACAGTATTCTACGCTATTGGAAAAATTCTATGCAATTTATCCAATCACCTGCTTTACTCAACTGCATACTCTGCATCTTCTTTCTTCAATCAAACTCGATATATTTCGTGATATCCTACGTTTGACAACATTGAGGTCACTCAGTCTTGTCTACAATAGTGTTCAAAACTTCGAGAGTCAATGGGAAACTTTGTGCAATGAAGGATCAAATTTAGCTTTAACGCTAATCGATTTCGCTGTTAGACTTGACTTCAGTGAAATGGTACCATCGAATACTGAATCGGTCGCTCAGCCAAACATAATCAAAAGATTTACTATGAAATTCTTTTCGAACCGACGTTCGACGCTCATACTTCCATTTTTCGCACAAACGCAATTTTTGATATTTGGTCACTTAGCTTCGAGAACACAAAGTTGGCTCGTTTTAAACCGCTGTGCCAAGATAAAACTTGATTTATGTAAAGATGTTACTCACCAACAAATTCAATCAATCTTAAAATTAGTACCACAATTAAAATATTTGATAGTTTTACAAACAGATTACTCAGTACAAGCAGCTGGCAGAGTATGGCAACATTTATTGGAAAATACATGCAAAAATGTTCTTATATTTAATTTGACAATTAGATTTACAAAAGGATATGGTTGTTCCGAATATCCATTATCTTATTGGAATCAAAATAGTTTTCGAACGATATATTGGGTCGAGAGAAAAACCAGAAGTAGATTTCGTGATCACGCTTATCCAGGATTCACCGCTTGTTTCGATATAAGAAAAAAATGATCGAAATCAAATATCAATTTGGAGAATGCGGGTGTTGTCTAATCTTTTATTGACGGTCACACTCACGCTATGAGATGGGGCATAACGAACCTCTTTTCGGCAGTTTCTTCTATAAAAACAAGAAATAAATTCACACCCACACCCTCACCCTCAGTTTATCCGTTTTACCGAGACGATATATATGAATATGTAACACATTCGTATAATTGATTACATTTGTTCCCGATAAACTAGTCTTCGATTAGTGTACACTACTATCCTTTCGCATGTGAGCGTTGATGAAAAAAAAACAGTTCATTTACTTCAGGTACAGAAGGGATATCCATTTCTGGGGATAAAATAACTTCTGCACCATCTTGCATTGAAAATGCATGAAAAGTTAAAAAATTTTATATTGAAATTTTCTTTTAGTTGTGTAAAATAATGAAAAAGATATTTTAGAAAAAAAAAGGAGCACAATCAACCTCAAAGTTTCGTTATTTTAAAGCCATAAATGAACACGCTTTTCGCGGTGGTCAATACGAAATGAATCGTTTTGTGCCAAATAACTGTGATCAGTAAACCTTCCGCAAATAGTTCGACTTCCATATTGTGATAGAGAACCTTTGATGCAAAGATAAATCAGTCCTTCATCTCTGCATCTTTCTAGAGCTTGTGATATAAGAGAGTCAATGGTATCTGTCCAACTTGTTGTACTCAGAACCAGACGACGAAGATTTGTAAATTTCTTAATAATTAAATCGAAATCAATTTTTTCATTGCCCCGTAGACGATGAATTTCAAGACGTACAATTCGTGTTTCTAAGAAATCATCGTTAATTAATCTATTGAAGCCGTCGAAATCAATTGATAAATCATTAAGATTAGGAGCCGCTTTGAGTATAGGAAATAGTTCACATGGGATAGTAATGTTCAGAGATTTTAA